CAGCCCCTCTTGTATCTTTGTAGAGCATTTGTTCTATAGGCTTGTTTTCAATTCAAAATACTGATAGTACATTATTTATTATGCTTGGGATTATTATGGTGTTTTTACAATAATAAAACTCGTAAGTACTGACCTACCTGTGACTGTCTGCTGGTCTACTTCGTTGATAACCAGTTCTGATAGTAGCTATACACCTATCTTTCCACGGAGAAACGATAAAAAGACAAGTTCTGTCCCTTTTTATGACGTGAATGACAGCCAACTGCATAACAAGAAGGCCATTACTGTTGTATTTTGGACACCAAAATGGCGGTTTTGAAATTTTATGAAATTTTTTTCTCATTAGAACAATACGGTCTATTCATGAATATATTTAGCACCAAGAGGTCTATATAAAGCATACACTACACTTTTTACATACATGTACATGTATGTAAAAAGCATACACAATTTACTATACACATGTACATGCATGTACATTCATATGCTCAATGCATCACCAATGAATATAAACTACATGTACTACACTTTTCACATACATGCATGTACTGTACATGTATATACACGCAATACATAAATCCATACACATTGTGCTATGAATGTACATGTACATTCATATATTCAATGCATCACACTTGTAACTCTTAATTTTCTATAGCGTCTGATATATTGTTGAATAAGAAGGAGAGGAAGAGGTTGAGTATTAATAGGAATTTTGTTGGTGATTATCTCGGGTTTGCTGATGATCCTGCCCTACGTACTCTTGTTGGTGAGTCTTTACTTTCAGTTTATTGTTTTGTTTCAGTTTATTGACAATAACAATATGTACAACATATTGTTTGGAGATTTTAGTTTGACTATGTGATTTGAAGAGAAAAATTGTTATGTAGGAAGTTTGATGAATAATTTTCGAGTTATTAGAGTTTTTAAAATTAAGCCAATTTTTAAAAAATACCCAAGGCTATTTAGCCCATTTAAATCAGGTTATCACCCTCAAATCTCATACAAAAAGATACAGTAACACATTAAGTTACACCATGTTTTTTTCCAAAAAATGACTCGAAAATCATTCTAATTTTTTTCTTACTTATTCTGATACATATTGATGTTCTAATGTGCTGTAAAATGTTTGAGCTAATTCCGACAAATATTTTTCGAGTTATAAGCATTTTTTTTAAAAGAGCCAATTTTGAAAAATACCCAAGGCTATAGCCCATGGTTTTTTCCAAAAATGGCTCCAAAATCACCTCAATTTTTTACTACATTTTCTGATACATATTGATGCCCTTATGCTGTGTAGAAAGTTTGAACTAATTCTGGCTTCAATTTTTCAAGTTACGGCCATTTCAAGAAAACGCCAAAATTCTGAAAAATACTTTGTACTATAGCCCATGGTTTTTTCCAAAAAAATGGCTCCAAAATCACCCCAAATGTTTTATTATATTTTCTGATACATATTGATGTCCTTATGCTACATAGAAAGTTTGAGCTGATTCTGACTTAAAATTATTAAGTTACGGCCATATCAAAAAACGCCAAAATTCTGAAAAATACCCTGTACTATTAGTAACGCGGTAGCGTTACTAAGTAGGATTCACCCCCAAACAAAATGGCTGCCGCGACTTTTGCAGCCTTGCTATACCGGGAAAACGAGCTCCTATGCTTACCAGACTTCTTAGAGGACCTTATCTTGACCAGAGGACTCCAATAGTACCACTAGCGTGGCTCTAGACCTTTCCTGGGAGAAAAATCAAAAATCTGCAAACCGGCCGTTTTGTTCAGCCACCTTTTTTTCATCTTCATCATCATGATCTCCTGTCAATCCAGTTGTCGGTCGATATATCAGTATTACCTGGTGATAGAAGGCTAATTCTTATATCATTCTACTCCAACAGGGTATGCGCAGGTCCTTGTCCCCTAGAATCATTCTCCAAGAAAGGAAGAAGTGATACTGTGACTGTTGGATCGCACCAGCTTACCTCATGCCGCCATTTTGTTAATTAAGAAGCATGTGCTCCAAAAATTTGGGCGTGGTCGCGCATGCTCAGATGCAGAACTGGGAACAGCAAGTATTTTTTAACCTAGCTAGGCTAGCTATGCTTGGAATCAAATTGCAATACTTAGTGGAGGTTTCTAGCTAAGAGAAGGTATTAATCTTGCATATATCAAGTGTGTAATGAATTATTTTATTTCAAAAACATAAAACAATTAATTAATGTTATAATACTAATGATATATGAACTTGACAACATAGGCGGCTGCAGGGGCAGGCATTGAGGGCAATGCCCTACTAGAATTTCTAACCGGAAGATGACATCATCATAATTAGCAGTTAATTAATAGTTATTTAGTAATTATGACATGGTTTAATTCATCATTATAGCTAATTTTAATGACAAAAACTACATTATTTTGCTTAAAAAAGTGATAATTAGTAGAGAATAAGCTGCTAACTGCATGGTTTATTCACAGGAAGCCAGCCAGCCACTTGATAGGTCCATATCTATGGCCACCTCAGGAAGACATAATCTACAGTAACCTGCAGCTAGAACAACTGACTCTTTCATATAGCAGCTTCATTATTAATCATCATAGTCAGCTAGGACTCATTGAACAGCTAAATCACCTAGCTACTGATACTCTGTATTGAAAGAGGCCTTTTAGGTACTGAATTTTCTCCTCTTGAATACAAGAATGGCAGGGTAACTCTTCATTGAGAAGTTCAGAGCCTTTTTCAACTGAATTTTGTCACTAAGTGCCGAAACAGAAGTCTTTAGAGACTTAAACTCAAGAGCAAGACATGTGGGTGTGGTCATGGCCACACCTACTTTTTGACCACTCCCACTTTCAGCCACACCTTTGCCCTACTTGCACTGAAATCCTGTAGCCGCCTATGCTTGACAACAGGAAGAGCCTGCAGGAATAGCTACAGGATTGCTGGGAAGATAGAGCTTCTTGAACAAGGATCA